GACTGCCTCCTGCTTCGGAGGGAGCGTGTGTGTGTGTGTGTGTGTGTGTTTGCAGGGAGGCTTCGGGCTGCCTGGTAAGGTAAGGTGCTGTTTCCTGCTTTTTAAAAACTATTCTGGGTGTTTTTGCAGCGTGGTTTTGAGCTGGGGGGGGTTATGTTGCTATGCTGTGCTGGGTCTTGGGGCGTTGGTTTATTTTTTGGCTCCCCCCCATTTCCGATGGGTTTTAGGGGGTTTGGTTGCTTTTTGGGTTTTTTCCCCCATTTCCGATGGGTCCTGCATGCTTCCCTTGCATTTCCGACCTGCCTCCTTTGTTCTCTGTGCATTTCCAATCTGCTCTGTTTGTTATCTGTGCATTTTCAGTGGGTCTTGCATGCTTGATTGCTTTTCCTCCCCCCCCCCCACTTCAGTTGGAAGGGATTAATCACATTTCCAATGAGTCTTGCAGTGGGGGGTTTTTTGTGTGATTTTTTTTCCATCGTCCAGAATGGATTAATTGCATTTCAATGCATTCCTATGGGAAATGGTGCTTCGACTTACGACCATTTCGAGTTATGTCCATGTTCTGGAACAGATTATGGTCATAAATTGAGGCACCACTGTACTGAAAAATCACCTCATTTCACATGTCCATTTCTGGACATGCCTCCTCCTCTTACACATTCATCCACTACAAATCAAACTTTTGAAATAAAAGGCCTTTCACATTCAATTTACCCTATTGCCATGGAGTTCTGCTACATGAAGGAAGAAGGCAATACATTTCACTGACTTTGGACCTTGTCTAATCTATACTGTTTAAGCAAATATGGATTAGCAGGGACATAAATAGAATTACTAGCTCCAACTAGAGTAGGTACCCTCAACCTGCTATTGAATGGTAAATCCATGCTCAAGGAAATTCTGCTGATTCAGTGGTTCTACTCTAGTTAGGAGTAAAAGTTATGTTTAGGCCAGAGGGTTCAGGAATATTTTTTACAGAATGTTTATAAGACGGAAGTGTTAATTTTATGCAGGTACCTGCATCAAACTAGTTTACTCATGAGGAAAGGAAGGCTTGTTAAAGGAGAAGGGCTCTTCCATTTGCCTAAGGCAAACTTCCCAAAAGGGCAAGAGGTAGAATAAAATGTTAGTGATTCTACTCCTTGTCTTTCTGTTGCAGTGCCAGCACTCATTCTCAGCACTCTCCTGAAAATTCCCAGTTTTCAGAAGACGGGGTGGAGTGGGGTCCATGGGGCTGCCTTGAGGAAGAGGAAATGTGCAGGTAGATTTGGATGGTCCTACTTTGCCAAGTTTTACTAAACTCTGGGATTCACTTCTGAGTAAATATGCTATAGATTACATTGATAAAGCCATGTGATAGGACAGGGAAAACAAAACCAGAAAAAAAAATGCTGATCACACAACTTGTCATAAAAGTCAACTCTGACATGTCACATCTCAAATTCCAAAGCTTTCTTCAATTTTTAGGGGAGTGGGAAGCCAGCTAGAACTATGTTCCCTATATTCTTTCCAATGAAAGAGAAACCAATGTTATAACTAAATGAAACACATAAGTATATTTTTAAAAGACATAGGTGTATTTTTAAAAATCATAACATCAAGTGTCTTTTTTTAAAAAAAATCTAACTCAATGGTAATTGACAGAATCATGGTACATACTAATTCCAGGAATACTTTCTATTGGAATTTGTCGTACTCCGTCTTTGAAGCAAGAAAGACCAGGGTATACCTTCCGGATTTGAGCCTGCTTCCTTTCAATCAACTTTTTAATTATCTGCAATAAAAGCAGGACAGAAATTAGAATTGTAGAACATAGGAAGGAAGGAAATGCTGGCTGGATAGCTCAGTGGTTTAGGTATCTAGAGGTTGGAATTTGATTCTCCACCAGGCCTTCCAGAAGAACAGCCAGCATATATAGCCTTGGGCAAGATGTATAATTCCAGTCCTCCAACTTCTATATCTGAGAACTCTATATGTAGAAAACCCTGGAAAAGGTTGTCATAAGTAGAAACTGACTTGATGGCACACCATTCTTATTGTTGCAAGGAAGGAAAGACAATAATGAGCCTTGCAAGGCATGAAAATGTATAATCAGAAATCATAAGACACTAAAGAGGTGTTTGCATGCTGGTCTTATGTGTTGTTGTCATGTTCCAAAATGTGACTTCTGACGACCTTTTGAAGGGGTGACCTCCAAAATCATCATCTTACAGGCAGAGAGCAGCTACACTATACTGTATCACAGAAGTGAGTATACCCCCTCACATTTCCTAAATATTTTAGTATATCTTTTCATGTGACAAGAAGAAATGACACTTGTCTACATTGTAAAGCAGTGAGTATACAACTTGTATAACAGTGTAAAAGTGCTGTCCCCTCAAAATAATGCAACAAAAGTGAGTACACCCCTAAGTGACAATGTCCAAATTGGGCCCAAGTAGCCGTTTTCCCTCCCTGGTGTCCCATAGTGTCACAAGTCTGAGGGGGGAGGGGGAGCAGGTGTTATTGTTCTCACTCTCTCAGACTTGTCACTTGAAGTTCCACATGGTACCTCATGGGAATGAACTATCTGAGGATCTGAAAAAAAGGAATGGTTGCTCTACATAAAGATGCCAAAACCCTAAAACAGAGCTGCAGCATGGTGGTCAAGACCATAGCAGTTTAACAGGACAGGTTCCACTCAGAACAGGCCTCGCCATGGTCGACCAAAGAAGCTGAGTGCCCATGCTCAACATCATACCCAGAGGTTGGCTTTGGGAAATAGATGTATGAGCGCTGCCAGCATTACTGCAGAGGTTGAAGGGATGGGTCAGCCTGTCAGTGCTCAGACCATATGGTGCACACTGCATCAAACTGGTCTCCAAGGCTGTCATCCCAGAAGGAAGCCTCTTCTAAAGATGATGCACAAGAAAGTCTGCATATGATTTGCTGCAGACAAGCAGACTAAGGACATGGATTTCTGGAACCATGTCCCGTGGCGTCTCCCATTTTGAAGAGCCACTTGTCCAGCAGGCAAAGGCAAAGAGGCAGTCCCAAAAGCAGCAAAATCAGGGAGCTGGACAGGAGACAGATTGTATTTATCTTGAGTGTGGAAGCAATTGTCACTCTTGAATTGGCTGCCTCAGCCACACTAGATGATGTTCCAAGTCCTCTGTTCAGAGCATGTTACAATAGTCTCTCGAGACTGAAGGATGCCTTATCTGTGCCCAATTTGGACAATGTCATTTAGGAATGTAATTACTTTTGTTACCAGCAGTTTAGACATTAATAGCTGTGTGTTGTGTTATTTTGAGTGGACAGCACATTTACACTGTTATACAAGCTGTATACTCACTGCTTTACATTGTAGCCAAGTGTCATTTCTTCAGTGTTGTCACATGACAAGATATATTAAAATATTTATGATATGCGAGGAGGTGTACTCACTTCTGTGATATACTGTATGAGTTGAAATGACTTCTGATGAAAGTGAAAGAAAGCGCCAAAGCGGACTGCAGTTGAACAATAAGAAAAATATCATGACTACAGAAGAATTACACAACTTTAATGGCAATAAAGGAAGTGAAATTATCAAAGATTTTGTATACTTTGTCTCAATCATAAATCCAATGGAGACTGCAGTCAGATATCAGCAGAAGACTGAGACTTCGAAGGGCAGCAATGAAGGCATTAGAAAATATCATGAAGGTATGAATGTGTCATTGGAAATCAAGACCAATATCATCCATGCTCTTATATTTCTGATGACTATGTATATGTTTGAAAGCTGGATAATGAAGAAAGGTGACAAGAAAAACTGGTTTGTTTTAAATATAGTGCTGGAGGATACCTCTGAGGCTATTGTGGACTGCCAGAAAAATGACCAAGTGGGTCCTGAGCAAATTAAGCCTAAACTATCTCTGGAGGCAAAAATGATGAAACTGATGCTGTCATACTTTGGGCACATCATGAGAAGGCTGGGTTTGCTAGAAAAGACAATAATGCTGGGAAAAGTTGAAGGCAGCTTGGAAAAAAGGAAGACCAAATAGTAGTAGATGGATTGATCTCATCAAGGAAACCACAACCTTGAAGTTGAATGAGTTGAGCAAGGCTGTTGAGGACAGAACATTTTGGAGATGATTTTGAAAGCTTTATATACTAGATGCAAATGTGAATGTGCCATCTGCCTTGCAAACATGGAATTCCCACAATTCTGCTTCATCTAGTCACTGAATGAACCCAGACTGGCTAAGCTTTAGCATGGTATAGCATCATGTGCTCAGACCACACCTTAAGACTGCAGCATTGAAAGGTGTTCAGATCCCAAACTGCTGTAATCTGTGCATAGTGTACAGTACACGGTATGGCACAATGCCAGAAGTAAATACATTTAAGGCAAATCTTCAGTTAAAACCTGCTCAATGCACTTCTCCATCAGAGGATGGGAACCTGTGGCCTTCCAGATGTCAGGCTGAAATTGCCATCAGCCCAAGCCATGCAGCCAATGGTCAGGAACAAAGGGAGCTGGAATCCAATGACATCTAGGGCCAGGTATTCCCATCTCTCTTGTACACTATCCTGATGGATCTAGTGACTTAGGCTGAAATGTTACATAGGCGCATTTGGAAATAAATCCAACTGAACCCACTTCTAAGCAATGTAATAACATTCCACTGACACAAGGTAAACCAATAAACTGCTGTTATTATCAAAAATTCTGTTTAAAATCAAAACCTGCAGATTTGACAAAAGGAACCATTAAAATTACACAGGGCTTCCACTGACTGGTCTATAATACAATAACCTAAGTATAATAAACAAATCAGTATGTCAGAACACATCACGTCAAATTTCCAGATCCGTAAGAGTAATCAATTTATACACTTATTATGTACAAGGAAGAAAAAAAAGTAAAAGATTTCCCCATTTCCAAAGCAGTTCAGAAGCCTATGTTACTCCTGAGAAAGACATGTAGACAACAGTGCATTGATGTTCTGAGATACATTTGATTAACATACAGTGTCAGTGCTTACCTCTTTCTGTTTCTTAATGATGACTGAAAATTCAGTGTAAGGAATCCTGGGATTTAATTCACAGCCCATTAAAGTTGCTCCTTCATAGTCTTTGATATAGCCAACGTATTTTGCCTTTGGTACTTTAATATCTTTAGAAAAACCCTGAGGAAACAACAGTTAATGTACTTGGCTTGCCTGCATTCCAGCATCTTTCTGAAACCACTGTGATTTTTTGTGTGTGGATGCATCAGTGGTTTTCTCCTCTTATGTCTTCAGCCAGTAGACATATTAGCACGTTTCAATGCATAATTTACCAATTTATCTATGTCTGAATTACCACTATGCACCACAACATCTTTTCCAGGTGTAGTTTACATCCATACCCCCTTTTCAAATACACCGTGCAATTCACATGGCAGTTTAAGATATTTAGTAGTATCACCTTTGTAACTTTAAAAAGCAAAAACAAAACAAAACGAATTAATGTGGTGGATGTTCAGAAAAACAGTTCACTAAAATTAAAGTGGGCAGGATTCCCCATAAAATATTGTTAGCATGGCTGCTGATAACAGGTGTATTCAGTTTGAGGGACAAAAAAAGGAGGGGGGGCAGCTCAAATTCCTCAAATTATTAACTTTCCTTTTGTCTTTATTTCCTGAAATTGAATCAAAACCAAGAAAAAGTCTTCTGACACTCTGAATATTGACAAGATATATTTGGCATTTCCTGGACTGCAATTCATTTTATCAGATGTAATGATGTACATTCTACAACTGGCTTATATTTAAATGCCATAAGACACCTTCCTGTTACGGTTGCAACAGACTAACATGATTACTCCTAATTTTGGGCATTCCTACTCACACACTTATACCCCATTTCAGGCTTACGTCCTCTTTGTTATGCACAAAAATTAAAGCTACTGCAGTGCTCCCAGAAAGCTTTTATTTTTCTACATTACTAACAGGGAAGTAGGCCTAAGACAGGCACGGAGGTCCCCAGGCAGGCCCTGCTCCAGGTGAGTGAAACATAAATCCATGAGCAGGAAGTCTCAGAATTTTGCCTGGAGAATTCTTGGAGAATGCTGAGATTTGGCAACTCGCCTCCAACTGAAATGAAAAGTACCTCCTTGAAAGCAGCATGTATTACAGTAAAAAAAATTCAGGAAGAAAGGCTGGAAAAGTTCATTCCTCTGAGAATTAGAAATGAGCAGTGTCTGAGTATAACTCCTTTGTTGTTTTTAAGTGAAAGTACCCTTCACAATGCATTAATTAATTCCAACTGTTTCTTCAACTAGTGATTGAAGAAACTGTCTTTTGACGGGTCTCTTCTTTCAAATCAGGACCGAGACAGAAAAGGCCCTTTTCCTGACAGGGGACCATTTTAGCACCCTAGGGAACCTGTTCCATGGCTCTGGCTGTAAGGCAACAAACTAAGGGCCCCTTCAGCCAGGCCTGTAATTAATTTCTCCACAACTCTACAAGAGCATGGGCTCTGCATACTACATGGAGTTTCTTGGGATAGGAGAAGTTCATTTTTGGACTAAAATTCCTGGACCATGAGATTCTGGGAGCTGGAGTCTCAAGGAGTTATTTCCCCCATCTTTTCAGAGTTTCCCTGCTAGTGCTGAATGTCCTGCTTAGGATTGTGAGTCACATGACAATTATACCAGAAAATACAATACAGAAGTGAAATGCAACCACGAGAAAGTAGCTGGAGCATGGGTCGATGAGCAGTGTTCTTCACATAAAAGGGACAATTATTGTTTTCTCTTAGATCTTTGGTCAGCAACAGTCCTAAATGGCTTTCCCAGAACAGCAAAGGATTACTAAAATGTCCATTTCCTGCACAGATTCAAAAGCATTTCCTTGACTTACTTGCTTCTTGAAGTAGCCAATTGCATATTCATCCGCATATGTAAGAAAGTTGAGAATATTGTGCTTAATATGATATTCTTTCAGGTGATTCATTAGGTGAGTTCCATATCCCTGTACAGAAATTATTAGGGCAATTATCTTTTGAGAAATGCAAAGTTTCAAAATGTTTTTTTTTTTAAAAAAGAACCAACGAAGAAACTAATTTCTATCAAACAATACAGGCTGGGACTCCAAGAATGTTGTATGAGAGTATAAAATGTTTCCATTGGCATGAAACTTGATAAAATGTTCCTTTACAATTTCACCTGCTACAATTTCACAGAAGCCAGCCTGTAACTGTCAGAGGCTTTTATTTTTTTTGGTGTGAATTCACACATTCCAGTTTGGTCTCTTCCCAGCTCATGCAGTCACTGGGAACAGACCAAAACTGAGCTTTGCAGCTATCAGAGCTGCCAAGGCTCCTTCCAGTTTCAATGTCAAGTATCGTGAAATGGCTTAATAAATCAGCCACTTCAAGATATTAGTAAATTGAAACTTCCCCATCTCCGTGGAGGGGCAAGCAAAGTGAAATGATGCTTATTATTATTTTGTGCCTGCTAGCTGATTGCTGATACTGTATACTGAAACACTTACGATTATTTTCTTTTAAAAATTCTTTGCATTTGTGTGACATGCCGATCAAAACTGCAGCTGCAAGTAGTTTCTCGATTGACACAAAGCAAAGAAAAAAAATATTTTTAAAACTTAATCTAAGTGATTGAGTGCACCAGCAATGTTCTAGAAGAGGAAAAAGAAAAAAAGAGGCGCTAAAGAAGTGCTCAATTTGCCAATATTCTTGAAGTGGCTGGTATTGTCAAGTAGCCACTTGACAATACCAGAAACAGGGTCACTTGGAGTTGATATGACATTTGGATACAAGGATTGCAAAAAAAAATGGCACATTGCTCCTCCTCCTCGACCTCAAGCAACCCTCCCAAACCAGTCCACACCAAAAGAGTGGGCTGGTGCACTGTCAGTTTACTTTTCAGTGATTTATCCCTAGCAGACGAACTGGAATCATTTGCAAACTTACTGCACAGACACCAAGCCTTTTAAAAACGTCTTTGAAAAATATGAAATCCTTGGAGAGCTAAAGGTTTTTCACCTTCTAATCACAAACCCAACTTCTCACTTGTTTCTGTCTTATCAATTACCAAGTGTTCAACAGACATTCACATATATTATTTCAGTAATCATTTCACCATTCTTGCAAAAGCAATAGCCTTTCCATCCCAGTATCACAGGGGAAAGCTGAGATGAAGAGACCACTCTTTTGCCTAAGGCTGCCTAGCAATTTCATAGCAGAAGTGAGCTGGGAAATTTCTAGTTTTGTTACTCACATTAGTATGAAGCCCTGCCATCTCCACTATAATGTCTCATTTAATGGATTTTATGGGCTACGGGTATATCTTAGGTTAAAACTAGTAAAAGTAAAAATAGTTCTGTTTGATTTTTCTGTGTGACTCTCATTCTCCCATTCCGTTCTCTGTTACTGAGCTGGAAATAAAGATTTCCACACATGCCTTTTTAGCCAGCAACTGGCATAAGGTAAAGGTAAAGGTTCCCCTTGACATTTTTAGTCCAGTCGTGTCCGACTCTAGGGGGCGGTGCTCATCCCGTTTTCAAGCCGTAGAGCCAGCGCTTGTCCGAAGACAGTTTCCATTGCCACGTGGCCAGTGTGACCAGGGAATGCCGTTTTACCTTCCCACCGAGGTGGTACCTATTTATGTACTCGCATTTACATGCTTTCGAACCGCTAGGTTGGCGAGGAGCTGGGACAAAGTGACGGGAGCTCACTCCTTCCTTGGATTCGATCTTACGACTGCTGGTCTTCTGACCCTGCAGCACAGGCTTCTGCGGTTTAGCCCGCAGCGCCACCACGTCCCAACTGGCATAGAAAACCCAAATTTCTCAAAATAATAATAATAAAAAAACTGTAGAAGAATGTGACATGTTTATTAGACCACTAAATACCAAACCATTCATGCAAGCTTTCATGGAATAAAAATTCCCACTACTTCAAGCATACACCAGTAACTTGTGAGTAGTGCAGAAAAATTATAAATGTCCCGAAAAGATATACGGCAAAGTTGGTTTGGCAAAAACTTAAGATGTGTTTGAAGCAATTTATTTTATGCCGTTAGTCACATGTGTGTTTAGAGTCTCACTCTTTTTACAAACAGGCCTTGTAAGAACGTGACACAATGATTGAGAGAAGAATATAACATTATTTTCTATAAGCAAAATTCCAGTTATTGTTTTATTTCCCCTTTAGTGGGAAGGTGTTTCTATAGCTGCAGCAGCTAGAATTAACTTCTGCAGCCAAGCAAATATACATTCAGTAGCTGTTTCAGAAGCAGAGGTGTCTTACTAGAAAGCTCAGGGGAAACGCTATGCTGTAACTCGGTGAGACCATGCCTAAAAATATCCAATCACGCTGGTGCATTATACAATGAATTCACATCTTATTCTGATACTGACACTGTCCTCACCTTGACTTGTTCATTAGAAGTCACGGCACAGAAAACAATTTCTGTAAATCCTTGAGATGGAAACATCCGAAAACAAATACCTCCAATCACACGTCCGTCTTTTATTAATGCTAGAGTCTTGTGTTTCCTGTAGTTGAAACATGCTTAATGTCACTTTTATTTCATGGTTAGTTCATATACATCAGAAGAACAGGACATACGCTCACATAACCCCTGCAATAATAAATTACACATAAATTTTATGTGCAGATCTGATGGTAACGCTGTGCTCTGCGTGGAAAATAAAGGAAAGATTTTTTTAAAGGTGTTTAATCAGAGCTGAAGAGAGCTAGGCAATTGGTTTCATTCAATAAATTGCCTTCTAGACGATATTGAAGAATTATTTATTTATTTTAAGATTACTATCTCTTGGGAATATTTTCTACAATAATAAAACAGTCTGTCCTGGAAGAAGACTGTGTCTATCTTCAAAACTGTAAAATGTAGACACCTGAAACATATCTCTTCAAAGGGCCCTATGTGTATGCACAATAGGGTTACTTTGGGTTTTAAAACTGATTAATTTGTTTTAGTTAATTAAAATCAAAGAGCATAAAGAAGAAGAAACAGATTTGCCATGCAAAGGGATTGTCAATCAATGGGAAGCTGGTATTCTACTGACTGGTGGATGAATTCCCAACACGAAATTTCAGTACAACCCCATATCCACGGACCCAGTATCCAGAGTTTTAGTTGTCTATGGTTGCCACTGCTGAAACACAAGCCACAGCGTGCATCTGCACACCATGCACACACCTCCTCCTCTTGTCCTTCCCCACTCCCCACAGTTATTGGGAGGCTTGGAACCTATTCCCCATGGATATGGGGATCCTACTGTATTTGCTCAAATTATACTGATGTTTGCATAGTGTGTATGTCACTTGCCACAGCTAATTGACAAGACAGCACATCACACACCCAATTCTGCAACCACAATGTGCCTGGCCATCAAAACAATTAGTGACAATTAAGGGAAGCAAGTTACTGTCTGGCAGAAGATATAGAACAATTAAGACTCGGACCACACGTTTTCTAAATAGTTTTTATCCTAGAGCTATAATTGCAATTAATAATGAGCTTAAAGACCACCAGTAGTGAATAATTAGTTGGACTGTGTTACTTGGCCTGAGGTGTAGATGTTTGTATTTTTAGTGGGGGACTTCTAGTGGGTGGGGAGTGTTTGGGGAATGTTATGTGTGTGCATGTGTCTGGTCTCTGGGTGTCTGTGAATTTCGTTGTATGGGTATACTGTGTATATACTTACAATGACAATAAATTATATTATTATAATTATTATAAGATTCTAAAACGCCTTTTAAAAACAGAACTCAATGTTTGCCTCTCCATTCCAGTTTTTTCCCCCAAAACATACATTAAGAACACAATGTTGGCATCAGTACATTATTATTATTATTATTATTATTATGCAACCTTTATGCAAACACCAATAGGACTGCAACCATTATTTAACCTTTGTAACAATCCTAGATTCACAGATGCAAAGAACAATCTTCCTCAAGAGAAAAGGTGTCAGAATATATCTATTAATCTGTCACAATTACATAAGCAATAGCTTCAGTTGTGAACCCGTTTGAACCATGAAAGACAAAAATCAGCTTCACTGGTTATCAGTCTGCAAACTTTTTAGCAGCAGCAATTAAAATAAGGTGCACTATGGTTTATAACTGTAATTCTCTGCAGATTTAGCTATTTAATCTTGCTGAATATGTATATGTATTTCACTGATCATGTACTTATCTTTCTGATTTTTAGTATATTGGTGTCATGTTAATGCTTTAGGTACTGCCTGCAAAGACATTTGGCTAATGCAATAAACTATATATTCTTTTAAAACAATGCTCTTATCATTTTGCTTTCTTTCCTTGTTAGCAGACAGATGTAGTTGAGAATTATAGTCTCCAGGCTGGACTACAATTCCGATAATGCTTAATCATTGGCCATATTGGCAAAACTTTATTGGTGGCAAAGTCCAAAATCTGCAGGTCCATGAGTTCTCCATCCTTGATCTAGACCAGTGGTTCCTAACCTTGGGTAACTCAGGTATTCTTGGACTGCAACTCCTAGAAATCCCGACCAGCACAGATGGTGATGAAGGTTTCTGGGAATTGCAGTCCATGAACACCCGGGTTACACAAGGTTAGGAACCACTGAGTTAGACAATCATCATTATTTGGACTACAAAGACACCAGGTGGGGTTACATCATTAGCTCCTTTTTACAACTTACTACTTTTTTAAAAAAACAATGTAAAGCAATTGTTTGGCATTCAAACTTGATAAGATATTTTTAATTCAATAATAATAATAAAAATAAATACAGAGGCCATTACCCTGTTTCCCTGAAAATAAGACCTAACCTGAGAATAAGCCCTAGTATGATTTTTCAGGATGCTCATAATATATGGCCTACCCTAAAAATAAGTCCCAAGTAAGTGAAACCCCACCCTCCATCCTTGTGCAGCAACCAGAAGATGATGTGACTGTATTTGAATAAATGTAGATTGTTGTACATGAAGAAAACAAAACATCCCCTGAAAATAAGCCCTAGTACGTTTTTTGGAGCGAAAAATATAAGACCCTGTCTTATTTTGGGGGAAACAGTGGTGAGACAAAGGCATCCAAAAAACAACCAATGCATAGTTTTATTGGTCAAAATCCTATCAGTTATGAATTGCTAATTAAGAAGTCAGCACAGGCATTTGTTGTACTCCATTATCGTTCAACAGTAAATTCAACAGTTAATTGTTGTAAGCCGCCCAGAGACCTTTGGGTAGAGTAGGCGGCATATAAATAAAATAAATAAATAAATAAATAAATAAATAAATAAATGCCTACACTGACTTAACATATGGCAATTTGCCACTGGAATTTACATGTCTGTGCTGACTTTGTACTTTATAGCAATTCACAATTTGATTAGGTTATGCCAGTGTACAAACACAACAGGATTCTGGCTACTGGCTGATAATGAAATCCTATGGCTCCTACTGGTTGCTGCTTATTTTAAATAAATAAATAAATAAATAAATGCCTACACTGACTTAACATATGGCAATTTGCCACTGGAATTTACATGTCTGTGCTGACTTTGTACTTTATAGCAATTCACAATTTGATTAGGTTATGCCAGTGTACAAACACAACAGGATTCTGGCTACTGGCTGATAATGAAATCCTATGGCTCCTACTGGTTGCTGCTTATTTTACCATAATTCTTTATCACTCTTCTCCAATCCTCTTCATACCCTGAAAAACTGTCCTAGAGAGCTTGTGGAAAAATCTGGAACATGCTATTTGCATCATAGAGAGCTGCAGTGGGAGAAGATAAACCCTCTGATTGAACTGGCTTTAGAAATGGAAGCACAATGCTGGATGCAAGGGTATACCATTGAATCTTAACCACAAAATACTATCGAGCTAGGTATCCACTAGGGCAGGGGTCAGAGAACTTTTTTGCCTTTTACCACCACTAGGGCAGGGGTCAGAGAACTTTTTTACGTTTTACCACCAAAATATTTATATACGCAGACATTACCCCCTTGATTCGAAAGGAAGGAAATCATACATTATTTGAATTAAAAATATTATTGAATCTACACAAGCTGTGTACCGAGCTAGCAAGATGCACCAAATTTGATAAAGATGTGCACTATTTTTGCTGGAACACATTGCACTCCAGCCATGATGTGGTTTAGGGAGTATTAAGGTGTACAACGTGCCTAGCAAGTTGCATTAAATTTTTGCTAGCTTGCAGAGGATTTAATCATCATCAGTGGCTACCAGAGTGGTGCTAGCAATGACATGCTTGCTAGAGACAGCCAACGCAGAATTGGGGAGGTGGCTTTCCCTACCACTTTAATTATTCTATGTGTGGTGTGCAAACAGGAACAAGCCAGGCTAAAGGCCATGTCACCCACCCTGGTGCCACAGCCCAATATCAAAGGACTAGTGTGCTTTTTTTATCATCATCAATGGAACACTCAGCAGAGGCCAGAGGACTGGAAAAGATCAGTCTACATCCCAATCTCAAAGAAGGGCAGTGCCAAAGAATGCTCCAACTACCAAACAATTGCAATCATTTCACACGCTAGGAAGGTTATGATCAAAACCCTACAAGTTGGGCTTCAGCAGTATGTGGACCAAGAACTCCCATAAGTACAAGCTGGATTTTGAAGGGGCAGAGGAACTAGAGACAAAATTGCTAACATGCACTGGATTATGGAGAAAGCCAGAGAGTTCCATAAAAACATCTACTACTGCTTCATTGACTACGCAAAAGCATGGCAGAAAGTGAGGAGGAACTAAAGAACCTGTTAATGAGGGTGAAAGAGGAGAGTGCAAAAAATGGTCTGAAGCTCAACATCAAAAAAACTAAGATCATGGCCACTGGTCCCATCACCCCCTGGCAAATAGAAGGAGCAGATATGGAGGCAGTGACAGATTTTACTTTCTTAGGCTCCATGATCACTGCAGAGGGTGACAGCAGCCACGAAATTTAAAGATGCCTGCTTCTTGGAAGGAAAGCAATGATAAACCTAGACAGCACCTTAAAAAGCCACCCTTCCCCCGCCTTAATTCAAGGTTTCTCTGTTTCTTGCCTGTTCTTTTTTTATAGTTTTGAGTCAGTCTCTCTCACTCGCTCACTCACTCACTCTCCCTCCGTCTCTCTCTCTCTCTCACACACACACACACACATCCATCCACTCACCCTCCCTCCATTTCCTCCCTCCATTTTCTACATACATTTAAATAAGCTTGATGAAGTCCTTGGTCTCTCACACCTTTCTTCACTCCTTCCCTTGCTTGCTCCCTGACCCTTTCCCTCCTGCTGCTTCTTTGCAGTCATTTCCAGAGGAAGTAGTCATTCAGAAGCCCCAGACTGATTGATTGCCAGGGGTTAATCCACAGCTGCAACCAATCAAGGAAGTTTATCTCCGATCTCTGAACTAACGGAGGATTTACAAGTGCCCTGCTGCAACCAAGGAAGTAACAGGGAGAGGTGGCTTACAATTTGAGGTTTGGCTGCAGAGGGGGGGTAGGGAAGGGGGTAGCACTCTGCTCATTACCCCCAGGATTTTCACTTTTACCCCATTTGGGGTAATTAACCCCTGTTCCCCAACCTATGCACTAGGGTAACGGAGAGGGCCCATTTTTTCTTAAAATACTTCCTCCCCAGAGCCCATTGAACTACCTTGTTCTGAAAGGCCCCCCAACTCTGCATAACAGATTTTGGGGGGAAAGTAGGGATCTGCTGGAATCTTCCTTCTCTGTTTCACAGAGGGATGCCTTCTAGCAGTAAAGGAACAGCAACAGGATATCACTCCTAAACTAGAAGGGCCCATACAGAGAGTCCCAAATGATAAAAAAGAAGTCTGAAGTGGAAGTCCACTTTCTATTTTTTTAAAATTGGTATTTTGAGTGTTAAACAGTACAGAGGAGGCTTTTCATCTATTTGAAATGTGAATTATTCGTTCTGGAGGATTAAAGAAATAGCAGTTCTCCTTGCTGGCAGTTTCTATATTTTAGTTCAGCCAATTGAAGGTAATTAAGATATCATCTTTGTTATTCCACCTTTCCAACTGGGTGGAAAAAGATACTCACGGATCAAAGACCAGACGAGTAATATATTCTTTGGGCATTCTGGGCAGCTGATGTGAGAAAACATTCTGTAAGCCAACCAGCCACATCATAATTTTCTTGTTTGGCTTTTGATTTAGGGAATTTCCAACTACATGAAACTCTATCACTCCCCTGCGCTCTTCCAATCTTGCTGCTTCATCCCGGGCTGAATGTGCTGATAGAAAATTTGTCTGCTTCAAGAAAGAAAAGAGTAACAATTGATTCCGTCTGCTCTACTTTGTTTTCACAATTCAAAATCTTTCTACTGTATATGAAACTCTTTGTTTCAGTGAAATTTGAGCAAAATGACATATGGCAAGGTTTTAATTCATAATTATTCCTAATTATAAATAATTATGGCCGCACCACGCCAAAACTGTCATATCAATGGTACAGTATATGACGTTTTCTGAAAGTACAGTGGTGCCTCGCAAGACGATTGCCTCGTGGGACAATTAATCCGCAAGACTATTCATTTATGTGATGATGCGCTTCACAAGATGTTTTTTCCTATGGACGATTTTCGCAAGACAATGTCTGGGTCTATGCTTTGCAAGACGATTTTTTTTAAGAGACGCTTTTTCGCAAGACGATGGTTTTGACAGTTGGGTCCGTGACTCACGAGAAATTTTTTTAACGGACACTTTTTCGCAAGATGAACGTTTTTCTATGATATTTATAAAGTTTTTTTATTTGACTTTGTTCTGACTTTTTTGCCCATAGGAATGCATTAATTAGATCTCTATGCATTTCTATGGGAAAACGTGTTTCGCAAGACTTTTTTCTGCAAGACAAAGATTTTTCCCCCATTGACGCGTTTCGCAAGACTTTTTTCCGCAAGACAACGATTTTTCCCCCATTGAAACGCTTTAATTAAATTTCAGTGCATTCCTATGGGAACCGTGTTTCGCAAGACAATGTTTTCACAAGACAACATTTTTCGCGGAACGAATTAACATCGTCTTGCGAGGCACCACTGTACTAGTTTCACTAACTGGCATCTCATTACAAAAAGGATCAAATAGCAGGTAATCTCTACTCAATACCCTGGAGAACTGGTGCTTTTCAAAACAGAAGATACTGGAGAACTGGGCTAAAATTCTAATTCAGTGTAAGCCAGCTTCACGTTCTACAGTGTCATAGGCTATAGTAAGCATCATTATGGCCAGAAACCTGTTTGTTACAACTGCTGGCATAACATGACGTAAATCTCAGCAGCAAATTGCTGCAAGTGAAGAAGGTACTGTACACACTGGCTGCTGTATGCCAAGTCATACAACAGCAAATGCCTATCCTATCTTCCAGCAGCAAGTCATACAACAGCAAATGCCTATCCTAACTTATCTTCCAGCAATTTGTCACTGAGATGCACACCTACTGCATTATGCTAGCATTAAGGAAAAAAGAATAAAAGGATCCAGCAATTTGTCACTGAGATGCACACCTACTGCATTAAGGAAAAAAGAATAAAAGGGTTTAACCTATTCAATGACAACCATCCAAGAAAATCATATCAAATACTTTAAAACTGCCTGAAATTTAAAAGAATATAAGTACAACAATAAGCCCATTCAATGATCAGTAGCTAATAAAAATTCTCTGTTCAGAACTGACATGTGTAATTCTTGTCACTGAGATGCACACCTACTGCATTAAGGAAAAAAGAATAAAAGGGTTTAACCTATTCAATGACAACCATCCAAGAAAATCATATCAAATACTTTAAAACTGCCTGAAATTTAAAAGAATATAAGTACAACAATAAGCCCATTCAATGATCAGTAGCTAATAAAAATTCTCTGTTCAGAACTGACATGTGTAATTCTGTACAAATAACAAATATTTCTCACCTCCGGACCAAGCATTGCTGCTGGATCTGTGATGGTGGACATTACTTCATTGATCAGTTCAATAGGAATATCTCCTACAACTCTTGGCTTCTTGGCATCCTCCACAGAATAAGGCTCATTAATCTTTCTCTTCTCCCCTAAGTAATGATGCCAAAGGAAATTAAATTATCACTTGAAATGAAAGATGTTATAAGTACCAAGGCAGGAAGAAAATGTTAGAGATGAGCTGAATACAGAAAAATCTAGACGATTACATGGAAGTTTCAATAACCACATTGAACATCCACAAAGCAGTGTTGATAAATACTGGCACTGATCATAATGTTATCAGTACAATCTAAGTCTACTGAACTGGTTTTGTATCAAAGAACATTAGTTTCCATGGTATGTGGGCATCTCCCATTCACTGGCTGAAATCCTTAGTAAGCTTCAACTAGAGTAGGCCCATTTGAATAAATGGAACTTACAGAAGAGTTGATTCACCAAATTTCCACTGATTCAATGGACCTACTCATTCTATTCCTATTCAATGGGACCTACTATGCTGGGCAAGAGGATTTCAGGTATTAAATAAAAACTGGTATTAAAGGCTCAGAGTCAATGGCATACCTCCACTGCACCCCGTCCACCAGAATCACCAGTATACCTGTGCACTCTAAATACATACTCTGGGAGAATGTGAAACCTTTTGGTTCTTGGCAATGGCAGGAGAAGAGGAAGAAAGTTCCAGTTCTGCTGCCCTTGGATTACAATGGGCACTGCTAGACTTTGGCCAGCATCTCCAAAGACAACCTTAACATTTGGTTGTCTTGCTTTTTTTAATATTGTAAAAGTTTATTAATTGGCTTTCAACTTTGCTTCTTTTATATACTGTAAGCTGTACTGAATCCTTTAGGAGAAAGGCAGCATACAGTATAAATATTTTAAATAAATAAATACATTAAGACTTTAAGATTTTATCTGTTAATTGCCCAGAGTGATGCCTTACACTAATTGGGTGGTATAGAATTAGAAGAAATAAATAAATTTCCGTGCAAGGAATAGGATGGGTCCTTAGCCTTATCCCCCTGCCATGTTTCTCCATTAGAAACAGAATTTTTGCATCTCACTCTGCTGAGAAAAAAAAGATAAAATACAGATGTAAGATTGTATTAAGAGTGGATAAGATTGATGTATTTTCTGGCTCATGAATCAGCCAATCTGGCAACTAAGCTTTCATTGCAGAACATTTTGCACATATGGCATGAGAAGCAGCAGGGAAACAGCTTGGCACCTTAGGCCCAGGAGAAGCTAAAAATAAACATATTTTGACTTGCCTCATTAATTGCTGAGGGTGGCAATAGCAGTTGTAGCACTGAATAACCAAAGGAGGAAAAAAGCTTTATCAGCTCACAGTGAAAGTTTCCAGAATATCTTCAATTTTGGCAATTGCTCTTGAACACAAATTGAGCATTGAGGGAGGGCACTACCCTCAGCCTCTATTCTTCTTTTAGGCAGTTTTGTGGCCCAGGGTCAGACAAAATCTGGATTTATGGCAGAGCTAACTATGAGGAAATGACTTTGCTTGGTTCCATCTATAGAATGACTTTTTAAAAAAACTTTTGCTTGAGTCAAGAGTCCTTTAATCTGACTTCTTTGCACTGGCAATGGTTCTCTGTAGCTTCCTGGCAGCCTTGCAGGCTAGGTTTAGAGGTGGAACACAGTCTATTAATAAAATGTATTTATTAAAGGGACATTATTTATAAAATATTGTACAGGGAATCAAGAATGTATGGGTGACTGTTTCTTACAAGTTTGAGATAAGTCTTTGCTATTGCATCCCGCTCAAGGATTTTTGTTTTGTTTACCTCAACCCAAATCCCTGATTTCCATATTCAAGCAGAATTCCTATTTACTTAGTATAATAAATTCTAATCATGACATGTATCTATCTTCTTTTTAGATGCTTTCAGAAAAACTGTTTCTGATTTTTCCCCTGGGGATGATTCCTACTGACATATTATAACCCAATCCTAATTCCAGCAAAGACCTGTCCAGGCATTAGTGAGGTGTGCATATTCCACATGGAAAGACTGACATATGTTAGCCCTTGTAAAGACATGGAGTGGAACCCCAAGGTCAGGATGCCACAGACATAAAATAAAAAACCAGAGATATTATCAAAATCATACCCTTTAGGAGAAGCTTTCCGGCAGATGGCGAATACACATTTTGAAGTGTCCTTTAAGCAAGGGCTTGTGAAATCCCCACTTGGTCCATTGGCCTGAATCCCTTCATATGTTGATAAACTTCATATGTTGATATAAAGAGCACACCTATACAGACTATTAAGTATTTAGATCAAAAGCCCTTTTTATCTGCTTTTTGGCCAGGAGATCAGGAGTAAACAAAGGGCTGAAAACTTCAAGTAGTCAGTTGCCTCCCCCCTCCACCCCCTCCGCTGGACCTGTAGAGAATATAGCAACCAAGAAAAGCTTGTAGTCCACTTCCATTACCTAAGTTTGGGTCCAGGCCAGAGGCAGCCTTGCAAGCAGGACTCATACTGCCTCCACTGGGTTGCTCCAGAGATGAAGGGCTTGCACTATATGAAACAGACCTTACCACAGCAGGGCGGCTAATCACTACAACCACAGAAGAAGAAAACGAAAATTAAGTTATTGAGGTTAAAGCCTTAGTAATGATTCAGGACAAGAACAATGCCCATCACAACCACAAAATTTGAGGTAAGAGGCTGCTTTGCCCGTACCTATCAGCCTGTCCAGCCCACCATGACGGTTAGACAAATAAGGTCTCAAAACAGAGTAATTCTTCTTAAGGTTATTGAGCAGAGGTGCCAAAGTTTGTAACTGGAAATATGTTTCCCTGTGGCCCCTCTGAAGAAAATGACTTCCTTAAAGATAGTCAGACCACTGGACCATCCAGCCCAAGATCATGTAATTTGATTGTAGGCACCGATCAGGTGACTTTGTTCTGAAGCTGATCCAGAGTGAATCTGACGTGCAGCACCAGAATGCCAGTGGCACTGTGGGTTCGTGGAACTAGGAGAATAGGCCTATGATGTTAGATCCTTGAGCCAACCTTAGTGCAACCTTCCCCAATCTATTTCAACTCCCATAATCCCAAAGTTAGCTGTTGTGGAAGTTGTAGTGTAACAAATCTAGAAGGCACCAGTTTGGAGAAGGCTGTTATACAAGTATAGCTATGAAGATTTTGGATTTTTCTGAACATTCTGAAACACCGGACCCCATGTCTGTCAGACTTAATCTCATCGTCCCTGAACATTAGCCATGCTGGCTGGTGCTGATGGGATCTGTAGTCCAAATATCTACCAAGCAACAGTTCTGGGATGGGTGTTTGAGTGCTCAGCACAATACTCCCCCATCTCAGCAAGCTTCAGATGTCATTATTTTGCAAAGTAATCCTAGTGACTGGATGTATCTCGCTTTGATCCACCCAAATACAATCCAAACATTTAACTAAATCAAAATTAGCAGGCTGGAGACAAATGAAGTATAATGTTCAAAAGTATAATCTATGAAAAGTTACTAAACATATATAATGAACTTTGAGTTCTTAAATAAATGTTACGTTCACTAAGCATTATTAACACCAGATGCTTGATAGTTTATTTAAACTCAGTCCTGATTATAGTTTCCAGTAATCTGTCAGTCTGACAGCTGTACTTTGTAAATTCACTGGAACTTGTTCATTTGCTTCTGTACAAACTCTGTAGATGCATTTATACATTATCTGAGTATTACAGAACAAGATGCTTACAACATTTTATCTGGTTGAAATAGACTAATATAGAAAAATCACAGCTGACAAGGCCAGAATGAACATTTCAACTGTACTTAGGAGACAAAATTTGTATGTGGCAGGCAACCATCCTTTAATTTTTATTATTAGGATCAAACTAAATATGCTGCTAATTGCGTGGATTTAATCAATGTGGATATTTTCTGTACTGCTAGGCAATAGCATGTTAATTTAACACATTAATGTTAAGTTCACTTTTTATTTTTCTCTATTTGTCAAATGGTGCAGAATACAAACTTAATATTTTCAAATTAATATAAAAGTAATCCTGTTTTACTCATCAAACATCACAAAACCCTGTTATTTTCTTTGCAGTGAATGTGCCTTGCCCTAGAAACAGGGCACTTATTCACCTTCAATCAAAATCTATAACCTGTGGCTACCATACCCCAGGTGTTTAGAAGTTTAGAACTCCCAGACATCCTAGTCAGAATAGTCAGTTACCAGGGCAATTGTCCAACATCATTTCTGAAATCACTACCTTTGTCACATAAACAAATCACATGCAAATCATCCCAGTTTCATCTCCCGCTTGAAGTCAAAGGCTGGTTTGCTTTAAATGCAAACTTCTAAAAGTATTTCTCAAACTGAAGTACCCATGGGAAGCCAAATGTCAGTAGTTTTCAATTGTGTGAATTGTCATGAAAACAATATCAGTATATGTAAGAAATTGGTTGTTGTGACACTGTGATAAGTCAGGAAGGTTGGAGATGCAAGGTAGTTTTCCTTAACACTATATATTCAACAACAGCTTCTGTAGTGTGGTCCTAAAGAAGTCCATATGAAAGTGGTCAAAGAATTCTCAGCGCTGTATGGAGTTAGTCTTGGTGGTGATTCCTGGATTTCTCTTCTCCTTAGATTAGGAAATAAGAACCCATGTTTTAGGAGTGACAACATTTCCCAACCTGACTATTTTTCAGACATGTTGAATCTCATCATCCACAACTATCAACTGCTTTATAGGCTTTATGGTCATCTTTAAACCGTGCTAGATTGAGGAAAGCACTTTTAAAGCAACAACAGCACTTCTGAAAGGGCCAATAACAAATTTGCCATTAACAATTAACAGTGAAGGACTCTTGCAAATCCCACTGTTTCAGAACCAACAATTTCACTAATGAATTAATAACGAGATGTTCCGCTTTAAATGTTAAGAGCATCAAATGAATCTTCCCCGTCTCTAAAATTTGACTTTAACAAATTAATTGTCAACCCTAGTGTTCCACAGTCTGATTTTCAGCTATTCAAAACGCAGGTATGAAGAAGCCTGAGCAGCTTCAGAACTGTGGGGAGAGAGGAGGAAGAGTTCAACATGTCCCACCCCTGCCATAGTATGGGGTGGGTGGGGGTGGAATGCCTCTCTGAAGTTGCAATGTGCCGTTCAATGAAGGCCCCATGGTTGCCAAAGGACTGTCCTCTTAAAATGCAAACAGTAACTTCAGAGAAGTGATCCAGGTGACAACTTCAGCCAAGAAAGAAACAGTTAAGCTCTCTTTTTCCCTGCCACACAATCCAAAGCAAGCGCACAGTAGTCAGCACACACACACGCACGCATGCATGCGCACGCACACACACACACACACACACACACGCACACACACAAATCTGTGTAGTTAGCATAAATATCACCTTTACTCCCCATTTTGCTATACATCACAATACAGTTACCTGTCTGGATGCCTAGCTGGGCACTCCGAGAAGAGGATGCTACAAAATCTGGATCCCAGATAGGAGAACTTTGACTATACACCTCTTCCTCCAGCATGGACAGAAACCTGAACACAGATGACAAAGCAACATTAATGGACAGAACTTTATGGCACCAAGAGAAGCATTGCAGTGGTTAATTTAGACAAAGATGAAAACAGGAACAAACTCAGCCATCTGAAAACACTGCTGAAACATCCAGCAATTTCAAACCTGGCAAAATACAGGTTAAAGAATTCCAATGGTAAACGTAATAAAAAGTGAAAGAAAGAGTGAGAGTGCAAGGAATTGCTTTACTCTCAGTTAGATCATTGTTCCATCTAGCTTAACATTGTTGACATTTATGACCAGCAGCTCAACTGTTTTTTTTATTTATTCATTTTGTTTCTATCCCACCTTCTTTTCAATGAACTCCAAACACTGGACACAGCTCTCTTCCTCCTCAGTGAGCCAAGGTCACTTATTGAATTTCATGTCCAAGTAGCATCTGAACCCAGTTTCACCAAGTCCTAGATTAACATTCTGACTCCTACATCTGCCGTCTCAGATGTCAGGACTTGGACATGAGACTTTCTCTGTGCAAATCAACTGCTCTACAACTCAGCTACAGACCCTCCATTTATTAGTATAATAAAGAATTGACACAACACATTGTTAGCATGGGTATTTAATATTATTTCAAATAGTTACTTTGATAAACGTTGCCCATCACAAAGAACATTGTTTTTGTGACATTCATCATTGCCTTGCCATCTCTCAAGCATACAGAGATATTTAGCAATCAAGGCACTTGTTTTTCACTATGGCTGTAGAACATACCTCCAGGCCAATCTGGAAATCTGGCCAGGGTTGCCTTCAGTGTTGGCAGTCAGAAAATGGGTATACCCTCTAAATTTGGTGCCTAGGGCAAAGCCTTGTTTGCCCTGAATTAGTTAAGCCCTGATATTGATGCTGAATAGTACAATGCCTTCCCTATCCACTATATTTATTAGGGATTAACTTCCTCTCAACCCAAGGAGATTTACTTCGGAGTAAACATGTGTAGAACTGCACTGCACAACCTGCAATTCTATAACCATGAATATATAGTATTCTGTTCTAGAGCCAACCCTATATGGTCAGAAAAATTGATGCACATCTTTTTAGAAGTACAGTGATGCCTTGCTTAACGATTACCTCGTTAAATGACGAAACCGCTTAACGATGAGGTTTCTACAATTGCTTTTGTGATCGCAAAATGATGTTCTAATAGGAAAAATTTGCTTCACGATGATCGGTTCCCTGATTCGGGAACCGTTTATCGCTAGACGATGATTTTCAAATAGCTGATCGGCGGCTCTAAAATGGCCACCCGCTGTGCAAAATGGCTCCCCGCTGTGCTTTAGGATGGATTCCTCGCTATACAGGCATCGGAAAATGGCCGCCCTATGGAGGATCTTCGCTTTATAATGAGGTATTTAGCCCATTGGAATGCATTGAAGAGTTTTCAATGTGTTTCAATTGGTTTTTTTAATTCACTTGACGACAATTTTGCTTAACAGCAATTTCACTGGAACGGATTAACGTTGTCACGCGAGGCACCACTGTAACCATGAAAAGAAATCACATGGTTGTCATATTGGCAATTTGTGTAGCCAGGAGTGATCATAGTAATCTCAGAATGATCTTATAATTGCAGAGCTGGAAGAGACCCAATGGATTATCAAGTCCAGCCCCTCTCATGGAGGCACAGGGAGGAATCAAACTCACAACTTCTAGTTTTTCATCCAGATGCCTAAATCACAGAGCTATCCAGCAGTCAAAGGCAGACAGACATATTACAGGTCAAAAGTCCACAAACAAAGAAAATAATTACTTTGGGAAATGTGTGAGGATTAGTGTTCGTTTCTCAGGAGGCAGTTTGTCTTTTTCCTGTCTTGCATGTTCCAGGAGTTGCCGCCTCATGACAGTAAAGACTGAACGCAACAGTGTTCTCCCAAAAACCTGTGTGGTTTCATATCGAGGTAGACTATCACAAAACTGGGGGACATTGCAGTAACACAGCCACCTGTAGGCAGGAAAAGTTAATCATGATTTAGACAAATGACTCAAAGTTGTATGAAATGTAGCACGCTCAGAATCTCAATGACTATTAATATATCGCATCTTCTCAAACAGGAGTGCATTTAATGAATTAAAAGGACTCAACAAAATGCCACCAGTAGGTTGACAAGGAATGGTGGAATAGGCTCCTGCCATTACCATCCTCTTGAATCTGATGTCCCACGTATATTGCATCTGAACACATGGTATGCAATACAGCTACTACAGCTGGTATCTGCTAACGAGTCTATCCTCCACATATTTATTTCTCGTTAATTCTAAAGCTATTGTATAAATTCTACTAGTTCCAATATGCCTTTTTTACGTGACACAAGAGGGAGCCAATGGCACTCAGTACCCACAAGCCCCAGTCCTTCAAGATGCGAGTGAAAACTCAAAACAAGCTATACCTACCTTGTGTAGTTCACTTTATAGCCAGCAATGTCATCATTTGGTGACCTCTGCCTTCGTTGAGAAGGTGTCTCCAGATGCCAGTAGTTGATGCGATTTAGAAACATTTTAGCCAGCTCCACTATTGTTTGTCTTTCTTTTGAGGGTAGGTGACTAAATTTATATTGCACAAAATTATTTACTCCCTTTAAAAAGAAACAGAAAGGAAGGGCATGTAATTAGGATACCCAGCAAACCAATATTATTTGTCAATAATTAAGTTACTAATATGTCCTTTTGAAATTTTCTTTAAAATTCTTGTCTCTCTTCAGTGGCTAGCTAAGATCCAGTTCACCTGTCATCTTTATGGCACGGCTGTACATGCGTCACACCTGCATCAGCCATGCTAACTTGTCAAATAAGTTGGCGCAGTTAAGTCTATATCAGGGTGAGAGATGTGTGGTGCTCCAGATGTTTCTCAACTGCTATCTCTATCAGGCCTGACAAACAGCCCTGCTGTCTGTAGCTGATGAAATTGGGAATTTTCTGTACTCATTAGCAGATAGTTCACTGTATGGGCTGTGGCCCTCCAAAGTTGCTGTCACTGATGATGTCATTGCTGCTGTTAGGTGTCATCAACTCATTTCTGACTTAATGTGACCCAATGAACTAGTGACCTCCAAAAGTCCAATCATTAGCAGCTCTAGGTTTTGCAAACTAAACGCTGTGGCTTCCCTTAATGAGGCAATCCATCTCATACTCTGGTCTTCCTCTTTTTCCTCTGCCTTCAACCCTTCTGAGGATTACCTTACTCAGTGAATCTTATCTTCTCATAATAACACAAACACCATATATTGTTGGGCTCTAATTAACATCAACTCTAACCATTGGTCACACTGTCTGAGGCTGAAAGACCACACTCTCCTCATTTCTTGCTTATGAACTGTGTCGGTGTTTCACACTGGAAGACATGATGTCTCTATTCAAATGCAAATAGGTTCTTCATACATAACCTAACCATCACTGTAGTCCCAAGTCAAGAAAATGGGTTTCAAGATCAGCACTTGCTAATATATATCCAAATGGCTAATAACAAGTTACCTTCCTGAATGAGGACCTTGGTTTCTAAAGATTACCAACTACCTATCTAGGGTCTTGTAGTGAGTGATGCAAATTGCTATCATCTCCTGGAAACTTCCTTTTTTATTTGCTCATGGTGGACTTTACAAGATGCTTTTTCCCATCCAATTTCCAGGAGCACTGAACTCAGAACAGACGCCTTGCTGCAGACATGTACAAAATAACACATTAAAAACAGTACTCCTTCTACTAAAATAATCATTACACATTCAGATGAAAGTGTAAACTGAATTCTGAAATATATGCAATTGCATTACAAAGGCTGCTGGGCATGAAGAACGGATAGGACTATCCAAATGTGAACCATCAACATCTGGCTCTCTTGCCTATCATTTAGATTTATCTATTGCCAGATGCCTCAATCTCTTCTCAGAAAGTGTTGTTACATAAAAGCAGAAATACACAGGAAAGAGATGCCTGTGCGTGGACATTACCTGTTCAATACTAGGCTTCTCAAAGGGGGGACTCTCCAAAGATCCTTCTACAACAGGCTTCCCCATATGTAATATACATTTCCTCAAAAGCTGATGAAAAGATGTATTTAAAAAAAAACAAAGAGTTTAAGTCTTTAAATAAAAATCTAATCGTCAATTAAAATAATTTATTTATGACATTTTTATCCTACCACTTCTTCACACATGCACACACATATTGGACTTCATAATAACTATGTGAGATAAGTTAGGCTGAGAAATAATTATTAACCCAAGTTACTTAATGAACTTTACGACTGAGAGAGAATTCAGACCCCAACCCTTCCATCACTCTATTCCGGTGGTTCTTAACCTTTGTTACTTGGATGCTTTTGAACTGCAACTCCCAGAAACCCCAGTCAGGACAGCTGGTGGTGAAGGCTTCTGGGAGTTGCAGTCCAAAACTCCAGAGTAACCCAAGGTTAAGAACCAGTGCACTATTCCATCACACTGTTTGTATGTTGTTCACCAGTGTGTATTGTGTAGGCATCCTTCAGTCTCAAGAGACTATGGTAACGTGCTTTGGATAGAGGTCTTGGAACAGTGTCTAGTGCAGCGATGGTGAACCTATGGCACGCGTGCCACAGCTGGCACACAGAGTCCTCTGTGTGGGCACGTGAGCCATAAATCGCCGAATCGCTACCCCTGGCAGCCAAACCTGAGGGGGCAGCAGCAGCAGCAGCGGTGCTAGTGCCCCGACAGCCGGCGAGCCAGGATCTGGAGCAGCCAGCCCTGGTGGCAGCCAAACCTGAGGAGGCAGCGGCAGCAGCGGTGCTAGTGCTCCGACAGCCGGCGAACCAGGATCTGGAGCAGCCAGCGCTGGCGGGGTTGGGCCTGACTGGAGACGGATCCAGAGTGGGGTCTGGAGGCACCTCCATGCCCGGAATTCCCCCTTCCACCGCCACCATTTCCACTTCTGCTGCCGCCCGCCGCCCACTGTTTTTTCCCGCCACCACTTCCACTTCTGCTGCCGCCGCCGCCCACTGTTTTTTTTTTCTTTTCAATTTGGGCACAAAGATGTTCACTGTCACTGGTCTAGTATGGCTGAGAAGGCCAATTCGGGAGTGACCATCCCTTCCACAATGAAGACAAATGCAATCTGTCCCCTGTCCAGCTCCCTGATTTTGCTGCTTTCGGGACTGCCTCTTTGCCTCGACCTGCTCTCAGAGCTCTCAGAATACTCCACCTGGCATGGCCAAGAAAAAAAGCAACTAAATACACTTCTGTCTTGAATTGGACCTAAGCAGCGCAGTTTTGGTTATACACAAGTGTGTCTGTGTGTACACACACACTCACACTAATTCAATAAATACTGTGATTGTATTTGTCTCCGGGAAGTGATTCAAGAAACATGGGTCCCAGGTTTACCTAGGGTCCTGTTGTTGGCAGTGTGGCCACCCCCTCAGCTAGCCCCCTCTCCTGGCATGGCAACTTCAAATGTCAAAGGGGAGGATGCTGAGGTATACCGGGAGGCTGATGCGGGGCAGGGGGAGAGAGGGGTGTGTGTTAACCAGCTGTTTATCCTTTGTGGTTATGTTGGGGGGGGCATAAGAGTTATACACAGATTTTGAACTAGACAGGGGTCCAGTGCCCCTAACCCTAGCATTGCTGAAGGGAGAAGTGTACAGTAATCCCCTGCTTAGCACTCAACACACTTTCCAAGAAAATGGAGAGCTAAATGGATTAGCACTAAACAGGGTCATTTTAATAAATCAGCACAGATTGGGTAAACCAGGCCTCAAGTCATAACTACATATTCTATATGCAGAGCACTGGATTTGTTCTGGGGAACAAAAATGGGAACTTACTTTGAACAAGTAGAAATAGACCTGCTTGGTATCTGCATCTTCTTCTTTGTGAACACACGTGAAGAGATACTCCACATCTAGGACAATCCCCAACAGCCGGTTCATTTCTTCTTCAGAGACATTCTCCAAATGAGAAACGTGAGCAGCTAAAACAGACACATAACTCTAGAGCTTACAAGAAAAGGCCTAGGCAAACAGATGGCCCATCTCAGAAATAGCCAACTAGCATCCATAAACTGACCATGAAGAATCCTATTTCATTTTTAATGGGTGAAACTTTAGCTAATTTCATACAGTACTCCTACTGATTAAAATGGGGTGAGACTCTAGAGGAACGGAAAATCACCAACACACCAATTCTTTTCCATGTCAGAGATCAGTGCCACTATACTTCAAATATTTCATTCAGATTTTATCCCTACTATATTAAATAATAATGATTACACACTATCAAGTCAATCCTGACTTATGGTGGTCCATTCTAGGGTTTTCTAGGTAGAGAGTACTCAAATAAGATTGGCAGTCTCTTCTCCTTTGGTCATTCTGGGACTGCATAGCTTGCTGAAAGGTAAACTATTTTGAGTGGCTTTTCTTCCGGGAGGCACAATGGGGGACCAAAGTCCCAGTATCTGGCTCCACAGCCAGCTATCCACTTCACAAAGCTACCCAGCCGTGACAGCAAAATGTATTATCATGCATTTTGTTAAGCAGACTGCAGTCATAGATCTCAATTAGCCTCCTTTCCTTAATCCACCTTTACACTCTGTTACTCTCCTGTATGTCTCTCCTGTTCTCAACATGGAGGTTGAGACGCTCAGGCCTGGAACCCATTCAGGCCTTTCTCAGTCCTGGCCTCTGGTGCTCCCCCAGAAGACTACATCATTTTTTGGCCACTTCCAGCTTTTGTATGTATGTTCCCGTAGCCTGAAAAGTTTAAATGTTTCTCCTAAAGCAAGGGTCCACAACCCCTGGTCCACGACCCAGCAGCAGTCCGCAGCCTAGGCAGGACCGGGCCACGGACACAGATCTCCTCCCCCCCCCACGAGTGCCACCATGTGCATGCTCCGCCCCCGTACCTTTAACATTCTCCTTAGCTAAGAATTGATCTTTTATGGCACTGCATCCATTATCTTCACTGTGTGGAATGTCTCTAACATATTCATTTATGAAAGACCTGTAAGCATCCTGGCAGAAGAGTGATTTGGCTAACAGTTTTAGAGATGAAAGGAGTTCTTCAACTTGTGCTGCATGGTTATTGCTAATCTGTGATTTCTCACCAGTTCCCTTTTCCAATGCATTTCAGTTTCAAGTGTCTGCATAAGAGAATTCATCACCTCAGGAGTAGCTTTTGTTGTTAAAACAGATAATTTTACTAAATATTATCAGAACATTCTAAACGTTCACAGCTATTGTATAGTAATAATTCATCTAAAGTTCTCTGGACAAAATTCCTTGCTAGCTTTCAAGTATGCCCCTGAGACTGTAAGGCAGAGTAAATGCTTCAGTGTCTTAAAAGCTTAATAAATGGCAGTTATAACCAGCTAACAGCAGGAGGCTAATAGGGAAATTAGTTACACTGTCATTTTAATGATTGCATGGTTTGAACTGTGAAGGCACTTCTGTCCACATTTCCTATTTTCAATAGTTTATCATTTCACTTTGAAGGAGAGAAGAAGGAATCTCTGCCTGTTCAGACTCAATGTCTGTTGTCCTTGCAGACCTAACTAAATATGTCCAAAGGTATGATTTCAGTGGTCCATACCTAGGCCATCGCCTGTATTAGCACATCACAGCTAGCTATTCTGGTTTATTAAATGTTCTGTGCTCTGTTCCCTTCATATTAAGGGAAAACAACTCAGGAAGCCACAATCACAAGTAATTCCCCATTATATCCGAATCTGGGAAAACAAATTAGGAAAGGACAATTGTACATAAATTCTGTGACATCGAGTCAATTTCTACTTAATGAGAGCATCCCCAGGGTTTCCTAGATATAAAATACCTGGCAGTGGTTTACCAGTTAGTCCCTCTGGGGTGCTCAGCATTTGCCCAAGGTGACAGAGACAAGCTCTTCTCCCAAGAGGCACAGCGGGAAATCAATTCCAGGCGCACACACAACAAGGTGCTCCACACTAATGACCTATCCAGCTAATTCAATTGTGCACAATCTCCCATTATATGTGAATCTTAGTCCATGGTCTATTAACAAGCCAAAATCAGAAGCCAGATTTAAATCATGCTTTGAAGTTAATTTAAGATCTTGGACAACACAAATGCTGGCTGTAAAATTTAATTCATGAATAATCTATTTTAACTCATCATCATCTTGGGGAGGTCAGAAAATACTCTCAAATTCAAACCATACAAATGTTTTTATCCTTATGCAAATAGGTTAAAGTAAGTCTGATTGCTTGCCATATCATACATAACTATGATCACAACAGTATATGCTGAACAAAGGAAACAGGATTATTTATAATCCCTGATGTTACACTTTACAGACAAGTTTCACAGTCATTTCTGTCTGAGAATTAAATACTGACCCGCCTTTCAGATACAAATACTGCACACTGTGGAAAAATCCTGGAAGTAGAAACTGAGCCTATAATATATTGTAGTTTTTTAAAGCCTACAATATATTGTAGGCTTTAAAAAGAAACACTTTTTAATCGTGTTACTATCCCATCCTCCCTGCTCTCAAATAAATGGCATCTGGGAATTTATGAAAATCTGATAATTTTCACAAAGTATGAATTTCTACTTGAACATGTTTACCTTTAAATATTTTTAAATATTCTGAAGGAGTCTCAGTTTGTTGTTTGCAGCTTTCCCCCCAGTTAGTAATTTACAGTGATTACCAAATAAATCACAGTAATAAATAATATCAGAAATGACCAAAAAAATCTAATTTAATCCAATTTAACAGTATCTTACTGTTTTGACATACCTGTACCACCTCACTTGGTAGTACATAGTTATTAGCAAGAAAACTGGTTTTTAAGAATCAAACTATATCCAAATACAATTTTGGGAATCTGCAGAGTCAATAAATTTCCAGTTTACCACTTTCATAGCATTTTCAGCTGTAGCAAGGTTTTAACTCAATCTGGTCATCATAAACCAAAAACATGCATAGTCCTGCATGTGAGCAATAGAGGCAAAGAGGTGCTCCCTTGGAATCCTAAATTTATTTATAATTTTGTCATACACAGACAGACACACCATGTTTCTCTGGTGCACATCACAGATACGAATAACTGAATGAATATATCTTTCTTCCCCACTCCCTGAAAATTATTTGGACATTTGCATGCACTTTAAAAAAAAATTTAATGCCAGAAGTTTATTTATCTTACAATCTCATTTCCTGAGCATGTGTAACTATAAGTGGTGGACCATACGCGTCAAACAAAAATACCAACATTCCAGCAATGAAGGCCACAAAGCCTACCTAATGCATGATTACAGCTACGGCATGGCTCTGTAAGGCTCACAATTGTCTGCTGCAAATCAGCCCTGGGTGGTGTGGGCGGCGGGTTGGGGTTTTTCCATCCATTACATTTACAGGATTCGTCAGCCTATAATTTAAAAAAAGGAAGAAAGAGCAGAGAGAGGAGGAGACAAAGAGACAGATAGAAATTGTTTCAGTTTAAATAATGCAAATGTTTTGCACCCAGTTATAATTGACAAGTAGAACTTTCATACTGTGTCTCATTTTCTGTAACCTATGTGTTTATGATACAAGTATGTGCATACATGTACATAAATAAGAACCAGAGCGTAAGTGGAATTCTGCTTAGGGAATGACCCTGCGTAAGGGACAGAGAATCAAAGAATCATAAAATAAAGAAGTAGGAAGGGGCCTATAAGGCCACTGGGTCCGACCCCCTGCTCAGTGCAGGAATACAAATCAAAGGACATCTGCCGGATGGTTGTGTATATTTCTCTTGAATGCTTCCAGTGTTGAAGCACTCACCACCTCTCAGGGTAACGGGTTTCATTGCCGAACTGCTCTACCAGTTAGAAGGTTTTTCCTGATATTCAACCAAAATCTGGCTTCCTGTAACTTCAGACCATTCGTGTGTATCCTGTAATCAGGGATGATCAAGAACAGATCCTGACCCTCTTCAGTATGACAGCCTTTAGAGTACAGTGACGCCTCGCAAGACGATGTTAATTCGTTACGTGAAAATCGCTGTCTTGCGAAAACATCATCTTGTGAAACGCAGTTCCCCACTGGAATGCATTGAAATCTATTTAATGTGTTCCAATGGGAATATAATTGTTTTGCGAAAATCATCCATAGAAAACATTGTCTTGCAAAACGCGGTTCCCCATTGGAATGCATTGAAATCTATTTAATGCATTCCAATGGGGGAAAATCGTCGTCTTGCGAAAATCGTCCATAGGAAACCACCGTCTTGCGAAGTGCAACAGCTATCGCAAAAACTAATCGTCTTGCTAATTAATCATCCCGAGAGGCAATCGTCTTGTGAGGCACCACTGTATCTGAAAAGGGCTATCATATCTCCACTCAGTTTTCTTTTCTCAAGGCTAAACATGCCCATTTCTTTCAGTCTTTCCTTATAGGGCTTAGTTTCCAGCCTCCTGATCATCCTTATTGCCCTCTGAACTTGTTCCAATTTGACCCTCCAAGCCATGGTTACCACAACTTTTTAATTTTATTTGCCAACCCATTCACCAAATATTTATTCACCAAATGACCATATTTCTTGCTACATTTTATTTGCCAACTGAAGACCGTCCTAGGACACTCTGAGCATACTGTTGGCAGATTGCCAATGTGATTGTGAAATCAAAAGATCTGAAGTACAAAATTGATAGCAAATTGCAAAAACCAAAGAAATCAATAATAAAACACCAACAACCATGAGCAAGAGTATCACACCTTCTCCAAATACTGTGGGAGGTGATACGAAAATCTGCAGGGGAAAGCAGTGAAAATTACTGTACTTCTGCTGCCATGCCCATGAACAGCCATCTCCACCAGATTGCAGCTGCTTCCACGGACAAGTAGTTATTCTGGATCTAAGTCATTATACAATCATAAAGTAAGAGTTGCTATTACTTATAAAATAAACAACTCCCATGGAACTGGCTAGCATGGAAACACGACATAGATGGTACTGAGAAAGTGGAATAATTCCTCAAAAGACAATTTGCTTAATAAGCCAAACACTACACTATAGATCTTGGCATGTTCTTTGGTCACATGAAGTCCATGGTCCAAGTGGAGGGGTGCCTAACTCCAAAATCTGGGGCTCTAGTACATCTTAACAATATATTTACAGAATTAGAGGTGAGTGTTTCACCATCCTTGAATGATTACAAACATAGAACCACTATGAATTTTTAACAGGAACTTATCACACATTTCAAAGAAAAAAAAGAAAAATGCATATTACACAAATGGAGTATTAATCCCTAAATTTTTGATGTCATCCTGATTATCTGCATCCTAACATAACAAATGGACAAAACTGATATTGATAATAAGACTCTTAGAACTGCAGAGCTGGAAGGGACCCTATCCTGCAGCCAGATACTTAAACCACTGTGATAAAATTTTTTTCCAAAATACACAATAATATGCAACATATAACAGGCCACAGTAAGTTGCTACCGAAAAGAAAAATGCTAGTTGCTATTTACTCTGCAAATAACCTTTTTAAAGAAATTTGTCAGAAATACATCATGTACACATTAACTGTACTACATCAATTCCAAAACACCATAAAATATTAGGGCGTACTAGGCTTATAAAACACACGTTTGAGAAATCAACTGGGCATTTCTCCTGACACTGGAATTTTCTTATGCAATGTTCTTGCAGTGGGAACACACAAAACTATGTGACAGAACAGAACTCAACCAGAAATTACAGTATGTTAAAATAACTCTTTCTACAAGTTCTATTTTTTTTTCACTTTTATAAGTACCATGACAAATTTGTTGAATGTCATACATGTTCAAATATTGATCTGCCCCCAGGGTGAACCGTGGGTCTGCATGAATATCTGTTTTTTTCTAAGGGAGCAAAGAAAAACACTGGGGAAAGTGGGTGGAGGGAGTGGGAAAATTACTGCCAAGATCTGTAAACATTAAGCTTGCTCTTGCAGATCTAGCAATTCCTCCTACTAGCAAAAACAAATTGAAAGGACATGGGAAAAGGTGAAACCAGCTACGAGCAAACACTTTGTATGGTAATTATCCCACAGCCTAAATGTCATAAAGACAGAGTGTCTATTAAAAATGTACTATTGCACAGTAATTAGCATTAGCAGTGCCAACAAACAGATGTACTAATACTGTAGCGACAGAGCTAAACTGCCAGAAATGAATACCAATCCTCCTACCAGAAGAGGGGAAAGGATTTTAAAATGCACACACACACACGTGCGCACGCACACAGACACACAGACACACACACACACACACACACACAGAGAGAGAGAGAGAGAGAGAGAGAGAGAGATTTGTTGCTTCTCTAAGCATATTTCTCAAAACAGCTGAACTTGCTTTAAAAAAAAACTGGAGACTGGAAAGGAAAAATTCTAGCCCTAGGGCACCAGGACGCTCGTACATTCTGAAAGTATCTCAGGCCCAGGCCATTTAAAGACTAAAAGAAGCATGTTGAAACAACTCAGAACCCTGTCCAGTTCTTTCAGCGCAGGTTCTCGTGTGCCCCCCACTACATCTCACCAACTAGTAAGAAAGCAGTATTACACTTGGGAGCCGATCAGATCTTCAAAGGCAGCAAAAAACCTTCAAGTCCAGCAATCTTCCTGGATGTTATCCCATCCATTCTTGACCCCAACAGTGAACAAATTTTGCGCTCAGCAGTGAGTGTACATTCCTAAGAAGCTTAAATCATGCCCCTGCTGAGTGGCTTTGAATCCTCAGCAGTGTTTTCTCTTGAATCTTTCTGTGCTTGACAAAACACTACCACCACCATCACCCCCACTTTTTGGCTTTTCATTAATAAAAGAAAGCATTAGGTTTCGTCCTTGACAACTTTAAGAGTGTTGGGCAGGGAGCAACTGCAATATATAGTTGCTATGAAGAAATACAATTATGTAATATTATGCAAACTATATATGAGGATATAAAGTGTGCATATGTGTGTATGTGTAAAGAAATAAGGGATCTGGAGGCTTATATTTGCTTGTGCAGCCCAGACTTTTTTCAGTTTGAAAGGAATGCCTGTTTGTTTTAATGTTGCGTGAGCTGCTGTGAGTCCCTTCACTGGGAGAAAGTGGCACAAAAATTAATCAATAAAGTGATTTCCGGTACTAAAATAAGCTAAGGTTAGCAAGGCTCAAAGTGATTACATAGAATACTTAAAATAGCTGCTACTCAACATGAAATCTCTGGCTCACATTCCTCCCTCACATTACATGGAGATATGCCCCATTCCTACTACACATTTCTTTTTTAAAAAGTTTTTATTTATCTAAAACATAAACATAAAATACACAAATCAAAATACAATATAACTGTGTTCCCCACCACCGTAGACGGGACCTCTTGCTGTAATCTTCTTCCTCCATTTATATTCTTCCTCTTCTTTTATTGTTCTCTTCTCCAGAACTGCATTGATTCTTGATTTGGAGCTTTCCCCTTTCCTCTTGTTAATACAAATTCCAAGAATCTGGTCCATATTTCATAAAAACTATTCTTTTTCAAGCATTACAAATTTCTATGTCCCTGTCTGAAAAGAAAATGTAGAACATGATGACTGCAGGACTAGGGTTAGTAGTGTAATTCTGTATCTACTCAGAGGTTAGGTCCCACAGAGTCCAGCATGGCTTACTACCAGGTACGTGAGTAGAGATGGGGGTATTTGTATTCGAATACGAATACCCACACACAGCTGGATGTAACAAGAGTCCGTCCCCCTGGGGCTGGACCATCCACTCACATGTCCACTGCTGCCATTGGTTCCACTCTCCTTCCAATTGCTCCGAAGCTCACGTTCAACTATCCACTCCTGGCAGAAGGAGGGAAGACAAGTCTCCCTGCCAGTGGATAGCCGATCATCCCTGCCAGGCTGACGAGTGGATAGCCGATCGAGAGCTCCGGAGCATATACGAATACCCCATCTCTATAGGTCAGTCAGTCAGAACTTTTATTGGCATATGCTAAAAATCACATATACAGGATAACAACAAACTATTAACTAAGTCAATCTACAAATTCGTTATGTCTCAATCTGCGGCTCTTCACTATCTGATTCAAAAAGGCCACCACATTCTCCACTATAACTGACTGTCCTATTGACAAAGGATGCCTTAGTGTGTCACAATCGGAACCCTTATAAAAATTTAATCACTCTGCTATCAGTGAAGGAAATACAATTTCCTCCCCACAATTTCTGGAATTGATCCTCTCTTTCCTCTGCAGTTTTGTCTTCAAAGCAGAGAACACTGAGTCACTCATAAGTGATTCTTGTGGCATTCTCATGGATCTGGAGGCTTGTTGCCATTAACAAAAACTTGTGGCAAAAACAACAACAGCCATCCCATGTGTGGGGCAAAGTGTCCTTACTTCTTTATGT